CGCCGGTGCCCCCGAGCCGAAGCCGGTGTCCTGGTTGTCCTCCTTGAACTGTTTCAGCTGTTGGGGGCAAGAGGAGCTGAAGCAGATGTGGGGCAACCCAACAGCCCCCCACAGCCCCTGGCAGCTCACTGCAGCATAAAGCCGTGGCCCCAGACCTGGCCAGGCTCCAGCCTCACCTGTTGCAGCTCAAACTCGGTGGAAAACCGTTCAGTCACAGATAAAATCAGCCGGGAGAAGGAGAAGGAGCCACCCCCATACCTGGGAGAGCAGAGGGGCTACTGACACTGGGGCATGGTCAGAGCAGCATGGGGGAGCAAGGCTGCCCTGACCCCCCTTGGCTGGAAAAGGGACAATGTCACCCACCTGAAGGGGACAGGGGTGAGGCTACCTGCCCCAGCTGGGCCCCCACAGCCCCTCCCAGCTCCCCCCATCCCTCCACAGCCCCTGCAGCCCCCCTCACTGGTTGAAGATCGTCTTCCAGTTGCTGCGGATGAAGTCCCAGGCCAGCGGCTGCCCCACCACGTTCCCAGCGATGCTGTTGATGGTGGAGGTCGCATCCTGCTTGCGGATCTTGGTGGGATCCAGGGTGTACTGCAGGTACCTGGGGAGGGGGCCACACCACCAGGTGAGGGGGGGCTGGCAAGGAGCTGTGCCACAGCGGCCACCCAGGACCTCACACCCACCGGTTGAGGATCCAGGGCTGAGGGCTGCAGGAGAGTGCAGTGCGGAGCTTGTCGGCCTCAGACACGACAGCGGCCTCTCGGAACCTGTCCCAGAGGAAGTCCCAGGCCTCCTCCCCGCCGATGGCCACCATGCTGCAGTAGATGGCCGAGCGCAGGTTCGCGGGGATCCTGCAGGGGGGAAGGAACAGTCTCAGCCGGGAGCGCTACCGCGGCGCCCAGCGCGGCCGCCGCCCCCGGGCACTCACGGGGTGTTTCAACCAGGTGGCAGCCCGGCACACGCTGGGGTGACCGTCCCTGTGTGGCTGGGGAGATCCCAGGGATCCAGCCCCACTCTGGGGCTGTGGGACTCACTGGTCCATCAGGCCTTCGGGGATGTTCACCCAGTTGTTGGTGATGTTCTTGTAGTGGTTGAAGAGGGGCGTCACCTGCTTCTGCATGTATTTCTGGGGGGCAGGAGAAGGGTCAGCAGCCCTGGCAGCAGGCCCCTGCCCTATTCAGGGCACAGCCGCTTGCCCCCCACTCACCGTCATCACCCCGAAGACCTTGCTGCGGTCAAACATCAGCTGGAAGTAGCGGAGGTTGTTGAGCGCTGCCGCCCAGGGCATGTACTCTGTCTCACGGCTCAGGAACCGCGTCGTGTCCAAGGCCAAGGTCACGTTGATGTGCTTGGCCCTGCGAGGGGCCAGGACAGTGTCAGCTGCTGCCGGGCACCCACCCGCCAGCCCCTGGCCCCCGCTCACCTGGCCAGGTTAAAGGCGTCATCAATGATCTGGGCACGGTTGATGAGGGGGATGGCCTGGGAGAGGGCAGAGTCAGCAGCTCAGGATGGTCCTGAGCTGGGTGCAGAGGGTGAAGGGGGTGGGGGCCCACCCCCAGCACACCCCCACGTACCTGGTGGTCACTGGAGAGCTGGCTGAGGAGATGGTCCCAGTTCTCCTGGTTGTAGTTGACACGGAAGTACCCGCTGACATTGAGGTTCA